TTTGTGTGGCCCCTGGAAGCTTAAAAAGCATTTAGGAAAGTAAATGCAGCAAGTCCATGCAGCAGAATTTCTTAACTTAAGAAATTAAAAGGTTTTTTTTATTGCACAGAAGTGAACAATATTTGTAGCTTGAATAAATAATAATAAATTGCAGAAACATGTTTTAGTCTGGTATGGAGTAGTTATATCTATACCAGCGGTCCCTGACCTTTTTGGTTCTAAGGTCAGCCATTTCCACCCGTTACTACAGACCAGTACCAAGGTACTGAGCATTGAAGGATCAATAAATTTTCAAAATAAAATATATTTTAGACTCGATCTGACTGGATTGTCTCTGAATAAAGTAAGTTAGCAAAAATTAAGAACATTTTTTCATTGTGTCCTACTGCGGTCCGGGACCAAATGACCTATGGACCGGTACCGGTCTGCGGACCACGGGTTGGGGACCCCTGATCTATAGTCTTGTGGTTCAACATCTTTCATTTGCTGCCTGTTTAGAAGACCGTCATCGGAGCACCAGAGTGAGAAAAGATGACGGAAAATGACCAAGTCAAAAAAATACAGAGGCTCTTAAAGGAGAATCGGCCCAAAAATAAGTTTTGAGGAAGTTTTCACCAGTAACTGACAACAACAAAGAACGACTGCAGACAGAGACTCCAGTGGTCTCGCTCCCCTGTATTAAAATCACACTAAATGTTTCCAAAAATAACACACGCAATTCTCTTCTCTGCACCGTTACTGCACCGCTAATGAAGGAAACGCTAGGTGAACCGCAGGATCGTTAAACGGTAGAGGGAGAAATACTGAGGAGTCTGGAGGGGTTGATGATAATGATGATGATAATTGGAAATGTGGTAAATTACTGCCGGTCGGGTAGGAGGGCTCCATCCCGAATAACGCAACAAAAATAGCAAAGCGGTGTGTGTGGCCTGTTCAACCCGACGAGGACGAATGAGTGTGCATTCCTCCTAATGAGGGCGCAGTGGAGATAACCTCAGTCTGGAGCCACAGAAGGTGTGTGGGTGTGTGTGTGTGTGTGTGCTCGGGGGGGTATCACAAAGACGACTTGTGTGTTTAACAGGTTAGAAAATCTTCATCGTCGTCGTCACCTGTGTCTTTAAGAGATACTGGCTGAGAGAATGAAGGCCGAGAAAGAGGGGTTCAAAGCAGGAGCTTAATTACTTATGAATAACACAATAAAAAGTCCATGTTTTTCCCCTTTGTTTTCAAGTAGAAATATATTAGAAAAAATATATATATTCAATAAAATATTTGACAAACCATCGCTAAGATGCAGTGTTTGTGCATTTTTTTTCACTTTCGATATTCATCAAGCGGGCCATATCGAACCTTCGAGCGGGCCATATGTTTGACACACTTGCTTACAGTACAAATATATTAGAAAAAATATATAAATATTCAATAAAATATTTGACAAATCATCACTAACATGCAGTGTTTGTGCATTTTTTACTTTCAACATTCAAGTGGACCGCACCGAACCCCCGAGAGGGCCGGTTTTGGCCAACAGGCCCTATGTTTGACACCCCCACTTTATAGGTCCTGATGCCTTGATGATTACATTACGTACATTACAGGGTCCGCAACGTTCCCACACAGCAGGTCCGTCGGCGGAGTGTGTCTGTCAGCCTCTTTACCGCAGTTATTCATCAAAGCCTCTTCTCCCTCCTGTCTCCCTCATGTGCCCAGCCCTCCCTAAAGCACTTCCACATCACAGAGCGCTGCTGAAAAGTTGTCTGATGACGGTTATTATCAGCATTAGACGAATGACTGCGGTCAAGTGTCGTTCGAATCATCCAATCAGATAGGCGGTCGGAATACAGACATCACATGAAACGTAATCGTCGGCGCTGGTAGATTTTGCAGCTCGACAATTTGCTGACACCTCTGCAGCTGGATTAACGGCACCAGGCTGTGACTGAAACACTTGCTTTGCCACTTGGTCGCTCACATCTGTGGGCTTACAGTAATTGAAACGACGTGTTCCTTTTCCTCGGCTTCCCTCGTCTCCATTGCTTGTTGCACATTTGAACAGATCAAGCTTTGTCTTGTGCACAAAGGGTCCTCGACGACTGCCCCAGGAATTCCGTTCCTACGTCAGTGACATCGGTACCTGTGTCACTCAGCTACACTAACACAGCGCTAACATCGTAATCTAGGACATAAAAACATCAGAAGAGTCTGACTAACCTCAATCAAGGCCAAAAACAACAACCCAAACGAAAGTAAGCGAATGTAGCACGATCAAATGTATGACGTATAACAAAGCAATATACCGTATATAGCGCCACGTGACAACGCCACATATTCGATTGCTCGGCTAGCCAACTAGTTCCTTTGTGAAAGTTGTTTAACCTTGTGCACGATTGCTCGGCTAGCCAACTAGTTCCTATGTGAAAGTTGTTTAACCTTGTGCATCGGTGATCGAACGAGACTTTCTTAATAAATCAATGGGAAATTGCGAAATGCCGTAGGTCGAGGACGTACTACAGTTAGCATGAAAACGGATATATCAGTATATGTCTTAAAGCTCAGGACATTGCAAAGCTACTCTATTTTAACAGTCTTTGAATCCTTGAATGAAGTAAAGATACATAAGAAACAATATTTACTTTAAAAATATATATATACTTTTTTTTTAAGGATATAGGGGTTCCATACCACTATTACTGACTCTAGCGATAACAAAGTATTTTATCGGTGCCTTTGATAAAAAACGGTCCAGGGCCTTTGACGAAATGGTCCACAAACTACTCCTTAATAAGCTAAGGGATGCTGTTCTCTGTCCTAAGGCTAGAAGGTAGTTAGACATTTATCACGCAGATAAATCTAGCCAGAAATGAGAATTTCTCCAAGCAGCCAAAGGCCTCCCACAGGGTACCAGTTTTGGACGGATTTTGGTTCCATTACTGATTTGAGTCAAAGTATTCTGGTAGAAACACGTTCATAACAAGCAACAAAAAACATAAAACAAGCTTTTTTTAAAAAAAAAAGTACACATTCAGCGCTAGGTAAATGCTCGTTAAAGCTACTTTTAAAGCTACATGATTGATTATCTGTGAAATATCGTACATAAAAGTATTGGTGATTATCTGTGAAATATCGTACATAAACGTTACCGCCTCCATTTAAGGTTGGGTTTCACTGACTGACCGTAAACGACAGTTTCAACAGTATCATCAACTTACCTCTGCATCCATATGTGTCAGAACCAGCAGCTACATGAGGTACACGCCACCAGGTGGTTGTTTTTCGACGTTTCTTGGGTTCCACCAGATCTGCGGAAAAGCACATTTTTTTTCTATTATGCGCCATGAACGTTTCACCTTAATCTCAGTCTTCCTTCATCTTCATTGACAAGCCTCAGCCGTCAAATACACTCAAAATGACACGGGCAGTTGTAGGCAAAAAATATTGCCATGTCAAAGTATTGTCAGGTTTACTGGTTCCCCTGGAGGTTTTTGTGTGAATTTAAAACCCATCTGGCTTTCTTAATACCTCTGTCTTAAATGTTTCCTGCAGCATTCCCTGAAAATGAGACAAAATACTGATTAAAAGAATAACTCAGAATTTTGCTTCAAGGAGTTGATGGATTTTTGAAATAATGTGCATCCGGAAGGTGGGTTCCAGAATGAGAATCAAGAGGTTTTTTTTCCGAAACTTTGTTGAATGAGCTCAACAATAATAATAGGTCTGTTGTCTCGTCATACATTTGACAATTGCAAAAAAAAAAGTTTTCAAGCTAGCATGTCGCTAGCTAGTGCGTGTCTGTTAATACTTTTCTTATGCTAAACAAATTCAATAATTATTAATAAGTTGATATGACAATGAAAGTATATAGTAGTATAGTAGTATAGTAACATTAGTAGTATTCTGTCCATGCATTCAGAAGTGTGAAAATTTTAAATCCCAATAATGCGTTAATTCGTTTAAACTAATTAGTTTGTCTCAAAAATCGCACGACTTTTTACCTAAACGCAGTACACAAGGATCAAGGATGGAGAGAAAACTAGCTACAGAGTGTTTAGTAGGAAGTAAATACGAGTACCAAGGACCGGTCCGCCCGGAACCGACTGTTACTGCGGACCGGTAGCACTGCGCCGATTGTTGAATTATCACAAAATTTTCAAAATAAATCAAATTTTTAAGCTTCTGTTAGTTTTGCAGGTACCACATTATCTACGAACTGGGGATTTGGTGACCCCTGGTGTAGGGCAACAAGCAATTGCATGGAGGTAATCAGGTGCACAAAAAAGCTCTGGTAGAGATATTGATACTCCAACAAGGATGAAGGATGAGAAGTCAGGGGTTTGAAAACCACATCATGAGTCACATTCTCCAAAAGTCAGGGTGTGTCAACATATATATGTGTATATATATGTATATGTGTATATATATATACATATTCGGCAGCATGGCATAGACGTAATACATATATATACATATATATGGAGGTTGGTTCTTAAGTGGTCATAGAGATCAAGACTTCGTGAAAGCATCACTCTGAGGCTTCACTAATGGACCTCTGTTTCTCCCGATTCGTCTTCTTCGTCTTCGGCAGCATGGCATAGACGTGGCCGTAGACGTACCACACATGCACACGGAGGGGGGAGTAAAGAGAGAGAGAAAGAAGGTGGAGAGAGAGAGAGAGAGAGAGAGACGTGCCGAAAGTGCTGCAGCAGTCGCGCACTCCTTTTTACGCACCACTCGGTTCTGCACGCTCCGTCACTCGACACAGAGAGACCGCCGACATAAAAAAAAAAAAAAAAGGGGATTCGATCACCAACCCCACTCATCTCCCCTTTGCATCATCCTCACTCTCCACTCCCCTCCCCCTCCCCGCCCTCCGGTCACCGCGTTTGCGCTTCTGGTGCAGCGTCCAAGTTCATGTGAACCCCAGCGCCCGTCACAACAAGTCCCACACACCGATGGCACACCGATGCTCGCTCCCTCCCCGGTGAATGGGATGTTCTAGATGGGCCGCGCAGGATGTGAAGCCGCTGTAGAAGAAGAAGCAGGAGGATGACAAAACCAGGCTCGTCTGCGGTAGTGATGCTGCTCCTGCTGGGCTTCCTCTCAGCGTCCTCTGTCAATGCTGGTGAGTTTTTTTACATTTTTTCTTTTTTTTTGATGGAGTGATCGAGACGATTAAACGGCGATGATGATGATGATTGGTTTCCATGTTTGGCTTTTTTTTCTGTGAGTCAGCATCAATTGGTTACGATTATACAGAATGACAAGGGCAAAAAAAAAAAAAAAAAAGAAGCCTGCCATAGTGGAATCCCTTCAAAACTAAGACAATGGATTTGCTGCCTGATTGTGGGAACGGCTGCTGTTCCGTAACGTAGAAGACGATGTATAATGTATGTGTGAATGAAAAAGTTTGGTGATTGTAATGATGCTGGTATGATAATGTAAATATAAATATTTCCCAGCTCAGTTGAATGCCTTGAACGTTGCACGCCAAATGCCACAGCATCGTTTATATCTACAAAAAACAAAAACTGTAATTTTTTTTTTTTGGTAATTATATTTACATAGAAACACACACGAATATATATGTTCATAAATATTTATATATACTGTAGGTTTACATTTTCCATCTGATTAATTGCATGGTAGCTGTGATTAATTGATTGGTTGAATCAACATTCCTGAATATTACTGGGACAGACAGACAAATAACAGTAGGTACTATTTGGACTCATCCAAACTATAGGATTATTTATATAGAATAATAAACATTTTAAGGAAAATATGCAGAAGTGAAACTAAAAAATTGTCTTGGACGAATTGGACAATTTTAATCTCTTTTTAGTCGTGTGACTCATTGAGAGGTTCTTTAGAAACTTCTGTGATCGTCCACAACCGTATCTACAATTACAATAAATATATATTTATTTATATATATGGGAATACATATACACATATGTGCATGTATGTAAATATATACAGATATGTGTATATATATTTACAATATATGTACATATATATTTACATATATCCATATATATGTAAATATTTGTAAATATATACACATGTATATATTTTTTTTCTAAATATATATTAATACATGTATGTATGTATATTTACATATATATGTAAATATATATATACACATATGTGTATGTATATATATGTCCATCCGTATATCATCACCTAAGATGTTTTCAAACGCGGCAGTCTGCATCGCAGCCACAAGATGTGACACTGTTACATCTGCTCTGGATGATGAGATGAGAGGTGACATGTAATCATCTGTACAGCCTCTCAGTCCTGGTGGTAAAAACCATGGTGGATTTATCTTGGCCTCGTGAGAATTTGATGTTTTGGCTCTGAAAAATGGAGACGAACGTAGCATATAAAAAAAAATTAAGTTTTCTTTTAAAGCCAGAGCGATATTTCTTTCTTTTTTTTTTACCACAACATTTTAAATATGAATGGGAATCCCCCAGTTACTGTGTGCCGTCGTCTATCTCTGACAGGGGAACAGCAAATAGAATAACACGTTTGAACACTGACTCTGCTGTATCAAAAAAATGCAGAATTTTGTCCTGTATAAACTGTAATACTAATTTTCTAGCTTGTTTAGAATATATATATATACATACACACACACACATATTATTTGTATACATATATGTATATTTACACACACATATATACATATATATGTAGAATATATATATATACACACATATATTATTTGTATACATACAGTATATACATATATGTATATTTACATATATACATATATGTAGAATATATATACACACATACATATATTATTTGTATACATATATACATATATATATATTTACACATATATTATATATGTATGTATTCAATAGCAAAATTATGTTTTCAAGATATATTTGGTTGCAATGTTTTTTTGCTAAATAGGAGGTTCTCTGCCGGTTTAGGACTGCATTTCTTTGTGCTTGGAGTTTTTTTTTTTATTCGGCATTGAGAGAAATAAGGGCAGACGTTTATCAAGAAAGCAATACTGTCGGGGGGGCGTATTATTGGCAGCAACAAGCCCAAAACATACAGCAAATGTCAACGATCTATCCCTGAACTATGTTCACGGTGAAGAAGAACAATAAATCCTGGATCTGAGGAAGATTACTGTACGTCTTCAAGAGATCTGTAGTTGGTTCCATGGACGGCTTACTGGCAACCGCATTGATCCATCCATCCATCCATCCATCCATCCATCCATCCAACTATTCATTTTCTTTTTATAGATCTCAGCGAAGGTTACACTTCTGTGTCAACACATGACAAACTATAAAAGGTGAACCCTAACAGATACGTGCCTCAGACCTGGTTAAATGAAAAGGAAGACATGGTGTCAGATCATTCTGAGAGTGATAAAGTTCTCATTTTTATATATATATATATATAAACCTGTGATAATCTCCGTTGCGGTTAAGACAAAGGACAAACAAATTTGTCTTTATGTTTGCCTGTGTGTCAGACCCCATGCTGTCAGCTCCACTTAATGTCACCATCAGAGAGCTGGAGGTCAACTCTGCTGTGGTCACGTGGGAAATCTTGGAGGGAGACCCCGTCATTGGCTTTGCCATCACACAGCAGGTACTAAACGCGCGTGTGTGTTTTTTTTTAAATAGCTCAGCTGATAGCAGGAGACGCCTACTAGTTATCTGACCAGCTTATAACGTAGTCAGGTTTCCACAATGGAATTAAAATCAATGCAATTTGATTCTATCTTTCTGTCTCTATCTATCTATCTATCTATTTCTCTATCTATTCAAAACAAACAGTTCAATGCATGGACAAAATCACGTTCGGGGCCCAACAGTGGTACAGCGGACATCTTCCCCTCCACACACCTAATGGGATTTATTACAGTAATTGGCTAGTGAATAAAAATGCCCCCAAGGAGACTTGCCGCAGCTCTGGCAGGAACCAATTGCCCCGAGCGAGAAACTCCTGCCCAGATAATAATGTTCACGCCAACCCCGCATGGCTGCAGAAACATGATGTTTTTCTTAACGTAATTACACTGCCAGCAATGTCTCTAAAGCATTTTTTTTTTTTTCCGGCCAGTGCAGAATCGCTGACCAGAGTAGAAATGTTTATAAATGTAGGGAAGGACAAACTTGTGGTTAATGAGCGATTTCACCTTGGTGGAAAAAGTAAAAAAAAAGTCTATCACTTTTACACCTTTAAAATAGTCCAAAATGCATAATTGCTAATGTGTCTAATGTACCATTATTTAAAGCTAAAGCTAGTGATCCAGACCAGGGAGCTGAACTACACTGCCACCACATGGACCGGAGAAAATAGTGTCGGGTCAAAATGGTGTTCTTGATCAAAGTCCTGTGACATCAAAATCTAAATTTAAAAATATCTCGTGTTATTTTTTTTTTCCCCCTTGACCAATCACTTCTGTCTGGAACGGTCGGGCATGCCGTCCTTTTCTGGGCCCTGATTATGACTTTTCCGTGCCCTTTTTTTTCCTGCAGAAGAAGGACGTCCGCATGCTGAGGTTCATCCAGGAGGTGAACACCACCACGCGCTCGTGCGTACTCTGGGATCTGGATGAGGACACGGAGTACATAGTGCACGTTCAGAGCATCAGCATGGGGGGCAGCAGCCCCCCCAGTCAGCCCGTTCTCTTCAGGACCCCCAAAGAGTCTGAGAAGATGGCGTCCAAGAGTCCAGGTGAGGGCGCTGTCGCACATTCACACTCAACACACACATCTTTTAGGTAGAACGGAGGCGTGCAGACTTACGAGGAGCTAGGCTGCAGCTATCTGGAGCATTTCATCATGTCCGACCCACTTACAGTAGCAAGAGCAGCAACCTCAGAGAAGCCCTGCTGCTGCTTGAAGCTCATATGCAGTAAGTGAAGAAGAGAAGAATGTTGCGATGTTTCAGCGTATACATCAGGGGTCAACTGTCATTATCGGAGAGCTAGAATTTTTCTAGACAAACACCTTGTGGGCCGGACTTCCAAATTAAATGAAATAAAAATCATATTTTCATCTATCATTATTTTATATGATATGATATGAATTGGAATCCAGTCGTGGGCCACATTGGATGCTTATCTGGGCCAGATTTGGTCCACGGGCCACCAGTTTAACATTGATATATGATATATCATCTTAAATCTTTCCTCTGTCTCAGTGGAAAAGGACGCTAATGTTTTTTTCGAGAATCTCGACTTTGGACTGCTCCCTGACTTTGTCCTTGAGATCGTCTCACTAAATATATCAATTTTTTTTTGCTGTTTTTATGAGGTTATCTTTCTTTAAGCAAAGAAACAGTGCTGTCGAATCTTCCATAATAATTTATTTTAACAAATTAACAAAAATTTACCCAGTGAGGCCAAACCCTGTATGCCACATCCAGCTCCTCCCACACCAAGGGCACGAAGGTGCGGCCAACATCTACCAATAGTCTGCAGACATCTGTTACTGAACCGTGCCGGCTGTTTACTGAAAGAACGGAAAAAGAGAAGAGGAAAAAAAAAAAAAAAAAAAAAAAGCGTTTTGTTTTAGTTTATTGTTAAATACAGAGAAGCGAGCTCATTTTATTTGTTGGAGCTTCAAGAAAAGTCCCTCTGCTGTCGTTTGTGTTTCAATCTCTGAGTGTGTGTGTGAGTGTGTGTGTGTCTACATGTCTGGAAGTATCCATTAGCCATCCTGATTAAATCTCAGTCATTACTGCTGCCCTGCCTTTCTGAGCCGGTATTAATCAGCCCCACACCTTTAGAGTCTGCAGCAGAACCTGATTGTTTTGTTTTGTTTATGTCCATCTGCAGAGAGAGGTTAACATCAATGCTCTAAATCAGGGGTTCCGTTGGAGGGTTCAATCCAGCCCACTTGGTGAATTTTGAAAGTGAAAAACAAGTCACGTCCGTGATGTTTTTTCAAATGGAATTTCATCCGATATGAATATTTGCCAGGAAAACAAAGGGGGGATAAACATGAACTTATTGTTATTTACAGGTATTTATTTTATAATTGTATCGGTCCGGCCCACTTGACGTATAATCAGGCTGAATGTGGCCCCCTAAACCAAAATGAGTTTGACACCCCTGATCTAAATAGATACATTAAATCATTGTTTCATGCTAGGTTGCGTCCACGCACTGGACCACACCCCCTATATTACAACTCCTACAGTACTTTTTTGAGGTAGGAGCAGGTAGATTTAGTTACATTTTGTAAATACTTGAGGCAGTAGAAGTTGTCATTAGTTATTAGGTGGGAGCTCCTCCTCCTTCTCGGTTTTTGACATTTGGGGGAAAACATAACCTTTCCTTTATGGTTTGGACACTAATACTGCCAGTACACACACACACACACACACACACACCAAAGAGCACTACAGTGCCCAGCGTGTAGAACAAACTCTCTCAGGGTTGCTACGGTTACGTGCGGCATCACCTCAGGTCAAGCACACACTGGCATATTACCACTTAAAGGTAGAGCAGCAGAACCTGATTGTTTTGTTTTGTTTATGTCCATCTGCAGAGAGAGGTTAACATCAATGCTCTAAATCAGGGGTGTCAGACATACGGCACGCGGACCAAAATTGGCCCGTTGGAGGGTTCATACTCAATATCGGTATTATTTTGATGTTAATCAAAATTAGGTTAGGCGGAGTCGTTCCCAGCAGTCATCAGTAAAACAGAGTAAAACAACCACGCACAAACTGATGGTTTGGGATTGTGGGAGGAAACCAGAGAGCCTTAACCCAGAACATGCAGACTCGACACAAAAACCCAGTGACTCCGAGCTGAGCTCGAACCAGTGATCCGGTGGAAACGGCCATCTCACCATTTCTGTTCGTGCCAGTTGGCAGTCAATAGGGTTAAAGGACTCATTACTTTCAACAGTGAAGCAACGCAGTACTGCATGTCACACGCAAATCCATAAAATACTGGTACGGAATGCATTTGCATTAAGCTGAGCAAAGAAGTACTTCGTCACGTGCGGCTGTGTACGTGTACGACCGAAGTGGAACGAATGCTGCTGGAAGAATAGATGGATGGATGGATGATGGATGGATGATTAGATAGACAGATAGATTATTAATTTCTTGGGAGTTTCTTTCAAGAAATTAAGGATATATAATATAATATACTATAATATAATACTAAGCAGCAATATTACAGTCATAATAAAAGTTTATTTATTTATGTAATAAATATAATTGTATCATATAATACAACTAGCATCTAAATTATAGTAAAAATTAAAGTAAAAATCAACTTAATTATAGCAGCTGAAAAAATATAAATATGATGTTATAATGGCTGATAAATAAATAAATATATAAGTAAGTAATTTAACTGAGCATTATATTTAATACAGCCTCAACGAAGAACTAGCTATTTTTGTTTTTTTGCGTTGTCAAATTAGAGATATTTAAGGATCCGTGCAACTACTTTTTTACTACTACATTTTGAAACACGCTACTGTATGTATTGTAAGGCATAAAAGTGAACCAGACTCCCCCCACTGTCCTCAAAAAACAACCTGTGAAAGTATGTACCGAAAGCTGGCTGTTGCACTGCAAAGACATTTGCTGGGGAAAACAGGAGCCGGCCCTGCAGAAAGTTGGACGCTGGGACGTTTTCAGCAAAGTGTCAAGGGAGTGAAACGAGAGCAGATGATCTAAGGGCACTTAGAGCGCTGCCTGTGTGGAGCTGAAGAAGGCGACGCTGCAGTTCTGCTACGAAAAATACACAGAGATCTGCACGATCTGCATTTCTGTGAATCAACGTGTCACTGTAGAGAAATGTTACTGAGTTTATTTACTGTCGGAGTTTATCTCCCGACCTTGGTGAGCGGAACGCAGCTTCAGACTGACTCACAGTACACACAGTTAGGCCAACGTACAGCTCAGCCTAGAACTGACGAGGTAGATAATAACGCAACATAAGGGTTGTGGTCCCATGTAGGGTCGCCTGGAATTTAAATGCGGTCGCCTGAAACGTCTAATTTCTAGGGCTTAACATTGTGCTCGGTAAGGAATCGCAGTGGGGATGTCAAACATAAGGCCCGTTGGCCAAAACCGGCCCACTTGGGGATTTAGTCCGGCCCACTTCATTGAACTATATTTCATTAAATAGGATTTAAGCCCACTTCACTGAACTATATTTCATTAGTTAGGATTTAACTAACGTACTTTTTTGCATGAAAACAAAGGAGGAAAAATAGAGACTTTTTGTTATTTATATTTTCTACCATTTGACAATGACTCTCAGTGTTCTTAAAGGCACACTCTTTACCTTTGTGTGTATGTGTGTGCATTCATTTCAAAGATGAGGTGACAATGGAGGAGTTCGGTCATGCTGCCCAGCTAAGGGCTGGAGAGCTCATCATCATTGTGGCGGTGCTGGTCATGTGGGCAGGTAAGACACCTTTACAATGGCGGCCCCTATGCTTTTTCCAAAGAACATCCTTGCACAAAAAAAAAGTTTTAATATATAAATCGCACCTGAGTATAAGTCGCAAACCCAGTCAAAGGATGAAAAATGTGCAACTTATGGTCCGGTAAATAAGGTACTAGTTAGAAAATATATCTATTAGCATCTATTAATCTATTAGCATAATATGTAATATTATTTATGAATTCTGAAAACCCGATAACGGAATGCCTGAGTTTCGCCAAATGATTTGTGTCGTAAAAATAGTATTAGGGATAAACGGCTGTATATTAAGGTGAAAGTCACTAGATGGCAGCATTGCAGCTCATTTAATTAATCTCATACTCATACAGAGGTTTGTACAGTTCGAATATTAAATATTACCAGGCCTATATCGGTATCGGTTGATATCAGAATCGGAAATTAAGTGTTTGGACATTATCGGCATTAGGGTAAGGGTGAATGTCTGCACTTAAGAAAGAATTTCGACGTTATGATATACTCTCTTACATTTTCAGTGGGAGTCGGCCGGATGGACAGGTTTTACGAATAGGCCGATTACAGAGTAACATCAACAGTAAAGAAAATGAAGACATAAAAGTGCGATGGAGGCAGATGATACGCTGTCGTGAACTCTGATGGGAGCCACCAAAAGCAGGACAACAGCATAAAAATAAAATGGCAGTGTCTAACCTACTTCAGAAAAACAATAAATAGAACACAACCTATTTTATTTACTCCGCACAGATGTATGTCTGGCTTCGTGTTTTTTCCTGGTCCACAGGCGGCCCACCTGACGCCTGTAATTTATTGCTGCATGTGAGCCACCTGAGCAGCTTTTGGCAGGACAAACAGTGTTCACATTAGCAGCTGTTTCCACTGACTCATCTACCACCTGTTATTTCAAGGTGAATTCTGAAACGCCAACTAATCTGTCATACACAAGAGGGCAAAAGTAGGCTGTATGTGCAGAATGCTAAAACGCGCGTTAGCAAAGCAAAGCGGGGCGGACCTATTTTTTGTGCAAAATGGATGCAACGCGTTTGACATGGAAACTAGGAGAAATAGAAAATAGAAATAGAATACAAATCCAATTATAGTCAAATGTTGTGTGTGTAACTTGCAGGGACGGAGGTGAAAATAAAAAAAATTCCAAGCCTGAAAATAAAGAGATATTGCTGAGAAATAATCATTGTTTTTTTGTCGCAGGTGTCATTGCCCTGTTCTGTCGCCAGTATGACATCATCAAAGATAATGAGCCTAACAACAACAAGGACAAAGCCAAGAACTCCTCCGAATGCAGTACACCTGAACATCCACAGGGGGGGCTGCTGCGCAGCAACGTCTAAGCCCGGCCCTGCATCACCTTCTGCAATAACCAACTCCTCGTACCTCAGGACAGGTGAGAGAGAGAGTTCAGAATTGAGGCAGATGTTTTATGGGATACGATGTCACATCACGGAGCCAACTTTGCTAACTTTTTTATGAAATAAACCAAATATAAGTTTAGAAGGTCCGTTAAGTGGGCCGGAGCGGTACAATCAGAACATAATTACCTATGAATAACAAAACTTTGTTTTCATGCACAACACCCTAGCAGGGCGGTTTTTGGCCTACGGGCCGTATGTTTGACACCTCAAATCTAAACTACTGTATCATTTGTGGCAAAGCCTTTGTTAAAATTCGTACTTATAGCCTCCATTTTTTCACATCGTTATGTCTAGTTTGTAATGACTTGACATGGTTGTGTTCATGTCAGAGTCGAATTGAGATTAATTACGATACCAAAAAATAATTACCACAACGTTTAGTTTACTTAAGTAAGTACAGTTCACACAATGGCTAGTACTTTTTTCGCCCTTATCATCTGATCGAGTGCAGCCACTTTTTTTTTTCCAGATCCTGAGACCAACAGAAAGCCATTCTTCAACACCACCAAAACCCAAAGGACGGTCCACCATCACAGAACATTCGCTTCTCGTCATTCACACGCTGAAGAGCTGCCGCAAAGCAAACGGACGCAACTTCTCTTTTAACGTGACCAAAAACTGGAACGCCGGTAGACTTTGTGCGGGCAGCGAAGTAACCAGAGATAATGCCGTTTCATCATCCATAACAAGTGGTTCATTTACAACCTCTGGTTACTGTTGATCAACATCATCGACCTCCCAGTGTGGATCATCCAACATTTTATTTTTTTCCCCCCGATGTCACAATAAGAGACATGGAAAAGCTGGTCCTGTTGGTCCAGACGTCGGTCAGCACACAACAGAACAACTCCGTCCATCTGTTTTAAATTGGAGACTTCGTCTTTCAGTGTCACTATCTCCTTTCAGTCCTGGGGAAGCTGCCTTGTGCAGCAGCTTGTCTCTTCTTCTCTGTCTTCCTGTATCAGTGTTTTCTCTAATAAGCACATTGCCATGTGGTGCTCCTCCTACTGTGATTGTCTGAGCCCTCACCATACCAGTCCTGATGATGGTGTCGTGGTCAGACATACCGATGTTTGCTCTTGTTTCTTCATTTGATACGTGGTTGTGCTTCTGCCTTTTTCTCGGAGATGGAATCTCTGGTCGGTATAGGAACGCAAAGATTCACTTTTAACTTCTTGGGTTTTCACCTCACGTTTTGATCATTTAATCCGTTAGCAGCCAATTAGGATTCTTATCTTTTGATATATATATATATTTTTTTTTTGTGTGGTTTACTGTTGGGCGCTGCTTGTCCGGCGCCGTATGCGGTTTGTGGTCTGCAGCGAGTCGTGAAAGGAATAAGGATGGAGATACGCGGGGGGGGTAATTTCCTAATGAAAAATTGGCTGGGGTTCCACTCTGGTGGGAAAGATAATCAACATCAGGGGCAGGAGCTGTGGACGCCCACAGCTGCTCCACTTGGCTGTGAGACAAAGTCCTGCTTTGGAAATGAACCACCTATTCGCCAATATAGTTACAATATTGTCAAAATCGTAATTCTAGATTTTAAAAAAATGTCTCTGGGGTCTCCAGAAATTCGTGATGTCAATATGGGGTCACAAGCCAAAAAAGGGGTTGGGAATAAGCTCTGGTGGGCCACATAACATGATGTGGCGGGCCACATTTGGCCCATGGGCCTCGAGTTTGACATCCGTATGTGATCTAGAGCAAAATATCAATGTACCCAAGTTCATTTCAAAATAAAAGTCTCCCTGACAGGGCACTGTTGTGCACGTCTACCTTAGCAATCATCGTGGTTTCCCTTCAGCGTGTTAGCATCGGCACTTACAGTCATTACTACAATAATTTGGAATATTTATCCTCCGACAGAGAGTTTAATGATGACAGGCTTTACGGGTATTGGTTTGGTGGTGATAAGGAGGTCACGATAAAGTTTGAATTACCTTGACTCAGCACTTCTGGGTTAAACTGCATGACGCCTTCTCCAAGGTTCCGTGGTGTGAAGATTCTTGTTTGCCTGTGTTTACAATAATAACAGAAAGATGATCATTTGGTGAGACAGATTGTGAGAGAAGACCTGGCATATTCATAATGTGACAGCAGAGGCATTGGGGTGTTTCAGGGAAAATGAGTCAGCATTTAGTCACTTTGGCCAAAAATCAGAATTCGGAACGAAACCTTATGGAGAGAAGACTTTACACCATGATGATAAAATATGTCAATTTGAATTGAAAAGCGAACATTTAATGCATGCCAGAATGTGGGTTAAAAGGCTGAAAGTACAAACATTCAGACTAATTATTTTCTAATTATTTAGAGGTAGAACATTAGCATAGAAAATGCATCATTAAATGATCGCACGAGTTGAATTCGGTTAGTTAGAATAGGTCTTATTAGGTTACAAAATTCAATATATATAAATTTTTTTTATTGCACTTTCTGTGCAACCGCGAAGTAATTACAGATACAATTTCGGAGCCCTGCCTCAGGATCCCAGTGCTTGCCACTCATCATCTTCACTAAAAAAAAAAAAAATTCAGCCAGGAAAACGCTGCTGCGCTGAACTCAGCAGAGTGACAGCAACGTTCGAGATAATTAGCATTTGTCTGAATACCTCACAGGTCGATGCGATTGCACACATGCGTTCTTGTGTATTTTTACCAGTGCCGAGCTGAGAAGGGGAAGGGGGGGGCGTCATTATTTTCCCCCGTTTCAATCATGGATGCTTTGAGGACAGCCATCCCTCACTTTCTCCTCTCCTCCTCATCAGCCTCCCACTTCGCCTCACTACCTCCGGCCGACTTCATCTGCCGTCATTTTCCCATTTATGACTTTCCCTTCGCTTTCTGTCGCTCTGTCGCAATGCTGTCTTTCTCATATATCATGCCACCGATCCTGGTTTCCGCCCCTGAACCACTATCAGCCTCGTCGCCCCTACAGCTCCCTTCTCCCCCGCCTCTTATTGTAACTGCTCTCAGACTCCAGTTAGCCTCGTTCTCCATCTCTGCATCAGCTGGTTTTCCTCTTATCTGAGCTGTTTAGCGCCCCCTGTTAATACTACTTTACCTTTTATGACTTGGCTAAGGTTGAACCTTATGTAGTAAACAACTGTGCAGTGAAGGAAAGTAAGTATACTAATACTAATGAGCGCATTAATAACATTTACATAAGCTAGGTTGCTTATGTAGTTAGCCTATGAATCGGAGGTGTTCGCTACATTCACTAGCACAGAAGTCCCCAAACTTTTTTGTATAAAGGACCAGTCGGCCGGTATCAGCCATTACTGCGGTCCGGTCATACTGCGCCATTGTTGAAGGGTCATTAAATTTTCAAAATAAAACATCAGCCTTTATTCTCTTTGTATCAAAATCTGAATGACCTATTGTTTTGAAACACAAAATTAGCCAAATTATCTTTGAATGAAAAAAAATGAAGTCAATTAGTAAAACTTTCACTGTGTCAGATTGCGGCCCTGTACCCAATTACTTACGGACCGGGACCGGTCCCCAAACCAGGGATTGGGAACCCCGGTACTAGCAAACACAAGGTAGCACAAGCCTTTGTTTTGTCAAACAGCTGACGTATGAGTTAGAACAGTTTGAGTAGATTTTACTCGATTACAGTGAAAAAAAAATGTAATATTACTTTTATGCTGCTGAAGTCAAATCACATTTAGCCGCCTAACTTATCCGATTTATTCTGCGTGTTTGGCTCAAAACAAAACAACAGCAGAAGGCAGTTCTGACTCATACAGCTCTGTCTCTGTCTATCTGGAGCTACAGGAGGCAACTCAGCAGCTGCGCACCATCAGCGTCTAATGTGACGTGTACAAATACTGGGCCAGAAACTGACAAAAAATGTGAAGACGTACAAATAGACAAAAAGAGTGAATGACACGAACAGAGAACAATAAAAGGTAAATCTGGGTGAAGACGATCTTTCTTTCTTTTAATATAAAGAAATATATTATAGCAGTAACTTTCCCATGCCCCACTCCATTAGCATTAGGTTTTGACCTGTGACCCCTTTGCAAACATACAAACTTGTATGTATTTTCGTACCTTATTCAATAATTATGACAGCGTAAGAAAATGATCAGCGAACATGCACTAGCTAGCTATGACATTGCTCAAAGTCGCATGGTGCATTCGGGTACCATCGGAAACGTTAAATCATAGTGGTTCAGAACAAAAGGCTATTAAAAAAAATGTATATATTTTTTGTCCTACCTTCCCTTAATTTTCTAAGGTCCCCTTGGTGCCCCCTGGTGGCCCCTACTTTGGAAACCACACAAGTACGCAAGATGTAATGTTTAGAGTTTATTATTAGTGTGAAAGCATGCTGCTCCTGATACCTGACTATGGTTCGTGCAGGTTATGTCATTTTCTTTTTTCTTTTTTTGGCTCTAATGAAAATGCTTTGGTCATCTCTGTGTATAATATTTATACTAAAAAAAATATATAAATATATATCTATATATATTTGTTTAAGTGTAACATCTTATCTTTTCAGTACTCCACTATAAACCAAACCTCCGGCTTTTTCTGTCCACGCCGAAGGTGTCCACAGGTTTGTTCCTTTCTCACCTTTGTGTCTCCTGTACTGCAGAGGACTGGACATACCGAGAATCTTGACTATATACACACCGAGGCCCGTGCACACGTAGTAAAAGAGGGACCTCGCACTTCTGGCATATTATGTTTGTACTGTACGTCTCGGCAAATAACCAACGAGCATGGATTTAAAGCAGAACTACGGAGTCTGTGTTTTTGTACAATCACGTCTGTGTGGTCCATGTTGATGTTAAAGGGATAAAAACCTGTTCACGAGGGCTAGCATGACTCTGCTATTGTTCACGTCAATGTTAAAATAAATATTTCTATGAAAATATATGTCTTATTACGTATCAACATGAAGTTAAAAAAAACATATTTTCAATGCAGTTTCTGGGTTCTTGTGTGTTTTGTCTTTGTTTTGCAATGATGGATGGATGGATAGATAAAAAACACTTCATTTAAATCAGCAGTGCAACTGAGTTCACATTAATATGCAGCTTACATAAACCAAGATATAGGTCAAATTGTTTTACCTTGGCTCCTTAAAGTAGTCGTAGATGTGTAGGGATCGAGTCTTCTTCCATCTCTTTTTCTCATGTCAGGAGCTGTCTGGGGTAAGAGTACCCTCTGTAGAGAGC